TAATGAGGACAGTGATGGTCACAACCAGCAGCACTTACGACACATTAGGAACCATGATCACTCTCAACCCGAAGTTAATTATCTAACCATGACTGTGAACTCCATTTAATTCTCTCTTGATCCTTAGAGATCGATAATATCCCAATTTTATATATAAGAGGATGTTTTTATGCAGAAAAATCCCACAAACTACTAAGGCCCTGGTCAGTGTGCCAAGTGGTTAGAGCGTCAACCCAGGCACCAAAGGGTGGTGGGTTCGATTTCCGGTCAAGGGCACATAGTGGGTTGCAGGCTCGAACTTCAGTTCTGGTTGGGTGGGTATAGGAGGCAACCAATCCTCCCTTCCACGCTCTAAAAAAAAAAAAAATTAGCCCTACTGGTTTGGCTCAGTGGATAGAGCATCAGCTTGTGGACTGAAGGGTCCCAGGTTCCATTCTGGTCAAGGGCACATGCCAGGTTGTGGGCTCGATCCCCAGTAGGGGGCGTGCAGGAGGCAGCCGGTCAATGATTCTCATCACTGATGTTTCTGATTCTCTCTCCCTCTCTCTCCCTCTCTGAAGTCAATAAAAAGAAAAAAAGAAAGACCCTGTCTCTGTTTATCTTTGTCACACACACACACACACACACACACACACACACGCACACACGCAGGCCCCCAGGTCTCATACCAGCACCTGCGGGGGGACTCACCGGGGCTGCGTGACAGGGATGATGGGCTCTGGCCTTCTCTTGGCCTGGGGCGCCTCCTCCTCCAGGGTGGCCATGGAGCCCAGGGAGCCCACCACCGAGATGGCCTGGCCCTGGGCTGACAGGCGTCGCTTGATCAGGACACTCTCAGGCTTCACCACCTTCTCCTCCTTGGGCTCCTCCTTGCACTGCTTGGTCTGCTCCACACCTGAGAGGGAGGCGCAAACAGGCTCCAGGCTGGTCAGACCCACTTGCTCCCATGCAAGCACCTTCTGTGTACCAGGCTCTATTCTAAGCCTCAGACACACAACACTCATTTAAACCTGCAAAATTCATGTCTGGAACAAGCAGGCTTTGTATCACTTTGCAATACAACAACGGAGGCTCCGACTAGAAATGCCACTCACTGCTGGAGGGGCTATCTAATGGACGGCCACTTCGGGAAGCGGATGGACATTTAATGGCAACCAACATACCCTGACACATGACCCAACAACGCCATTATATACTCAAGATACACGAGGGAACGTGTACATCAAAACATGTACACACAATGTTCACAGCAGCTTTACTCACAACGGCCCAACGTCGGAAACAGCCCACAGGTGCGCCAGTGGGACGGCGGGTAAACCAACAGTGCCTGTGCACCGGAGGGAGTCATACTGAGCGAGAACCTGTCAACTACGGTTCACACGACAACACGGATGAACCTCAAGAGCTTCTGCTGAGCAAACGAGGTCAGACTTTCCACGACCCATTTATATGAAGTTCAAGACTAGAGAAAACTAATCTCAGAGACAGAAGTCGAGACAGTGAGCACCTATGGAGGGAGGGTGTGGGAGTGTTGACCAGAAGGAACTTCTTAGGGTAGAAATGTCTCTCTCTTCCCACTGCATCCTCATCTGGGTGGTACTTACACTGGTGTGCTATCTTGGTAAAAATTCACACTTAACAGTTATGTGTACACTTACTAGTAAGAGTTCTGTGTTTCACCCTAGCCGGTTTGGTTCAGTGGATAGAACATCGGCCTGTGGACTGAAGGGTCCCAGGTTCAATTCCAGTCAAGGGCACATGCCTGGGTTGCGGGCTCAATCCCCAGTAGGGGGCGTGCAAGGAGGCAGTCGATCAAAGACTCTCTCTTCGTTGATGTTTCTATCTCTCCCTCTCCTGTCCACTCTGTGAAATCAATAAAATATATTAAAAAAACAAAACAAAAAAACACCCGAGGCTCAGAGAGGTTAAGAAACTTAGCCCAAGCCACACAGCCACTGAGTGACTGAGACAGTCTGATTCAACGTAGACATCAAACCTGTCGGATTTCAAAGTTCAGGGTCTAAAATACTGAGCACTAATAGATCTACAGGATCTGTAACTATTCATTATTATTTAAAATATATTTTTATTGATTTCAAAGAGGAAGGGAGAGAGATAGAAACTTCAATGTTGAGAATCACTGACCGGCTGCCTCCTGTGGATCTGTAACTATTAACACCTAAAAGCTCATGTGATTTTCATCTGTCCCACCACGAGGAAGGGCCCTTCCGGTAGGAGGAGCCAGGAGGCACAGGGCCAGTCCCTGGTCTGAGTCGGCTCCGTGCGACACTCACCTGGCCCCAGTCCCGCGGCCGTCATCTGTGTGGCCATGAGCCGAGCCAGGTGCTTGATCTGGGCTTCGGTGCCTGCCGACTCCACTGGGGTGTAGATGGCTTGGAAGGAGGCAGGCATGACCTCAGGCAGGTACACCATGCTGATGAGGACCTGTGGGCAGCCAGGAAGAGCAGCCTTTCCTTACTCATTGACTGGATAAGCGGAGGCTCCACGCCCAGGCCCCCGGGGAAACGGCAGTGACCATGACAGACCTGGGCCTACTCTCATGGAGCTCAGACCCCTGGGGCAGTCAGAGGGGCCACGAGTAATGACGCAGTGTGGTGTGTGACGGGGGAAGGAGAAGGGCCAGGGACAGCTCTGGGTCCCCGCGGAACTGGCACCCAGGCTGAGAACTGAGAGGAGGATGAGAATCCGGCTGGCAAAGGGCCAGGTCTTGCTGTGGGAGGGGTATGTACTCCAGGTACAAGAGCAGCAGGGGTGGAGGCAAAGGGGCACAGAGCCGGTGCGGCCCGAAGAGGGGAGGGAGGTTCAGTAAGAAATAGAACATGGACCGGAAATTCGCTTAAAAAAGAAAAATCAGTGTCCTAACAAAGCATATCCATGTCTGTCAGGAAATTAAAACAAAAGATAATTTCAAACTAAGTTTAAACTTGGAAGTTTAAGCACATACTTAAATGCTTATATTGGAAAAGAAGACAGAAAACTAATAACCACGCATTTCACTTAAAACTGTGGGAAAAAACATTCAAAGAAAGTAGCAGGAAAGAAAGAAAGAAAGGGGGGAAAAAAAGAAAGGAAGAAAGAAAAAGATAGCAGGATAAAACAGAAAAGGTTACAAAAAGAATATCAATAACAATTAAGAGCCAGTTCTTGGAAATCACTGAAAACAAGCAAATCTATGGCAAGATTGAACTAAAAAAAAAAAAAGAAAGAAAGAAAGAAAAAAAGAGTACGGACACAGAGTGGCATGTTTCCACAGCAGGTATTGTAAAAGCATAAGAATCCTATAAACAACTTCCTGCCAATTATTTGAAAAGGACAATTTCCCAGTAGAATAAGGATTGACAAGGAAGCCACATTAGACAGGGACCGAGGCAAGTTGAATTTAAGTTTTATCTACAAGGAAACAGAGGATCTGAACAGGGAAGTGTCATGACTTGTATGTTAGAAAAACGCGACAGCCAGGAAGTAGGCGGGTGGTGCTCCGGGTGAAAGGGTGGGGCCTGGACCAGGCTGGGGTCTGGGGATAGAGAAGAGGGGCAGGATCGGGGGAAGGCAAAGAGCTTAACTCCCAGGTTTCTGGCTTAGCAACTAGGAGGCTGGTGTGCCAGGACAGAGGGGCCATAGCCTGTAGAGAGAAATGTCATACGTTTATCTTGACATGTTGAGTCTGAGATGCCTGGGGAACATCCGAGAAAGATGCAGGAGATAGCTGCATACCGAGGCCTGCAGCTCACCAGAGAGCTGAGCTGGAGAGCAAACTCCTTCTCGCCACTATCATGACAGAAGTTCCACCCCTTTCCCAACAACTAACCCGGTGGGGTCCCCAGGCAGAGAGAAGGGGAGGCTGAGGGTGACTGCTGACCAGCGTGGGAAGACGCGCTCTTCCACGAGCACCCAACAGAGAGGTCAGGGTGCTGCGACAGCCCGACGACAGACGTGAGACGCACTCCCCCGCCCCCATCAGCTCAATCCCGCTGTTCTTTCTGTGGAGCAGGGTCACTTGGGGAACCTGAGGACAATGCTGGCCATCCTGCTCCCCGTTGCTAATCTCACACCACTTAGCACACAAGTCATGGGGTTAACTCTCTCGTTAATACACCCCTGCCCCTGGGTGAGAGTGAGAGTGAGTGGGTTGGATGGGAACTCAGACCACCTAAAGAGAGGCTGTAGGGCCCTAGCCAGTTTGGCTCAGTGGATAGAGCGTCAGCCTGTGGACTGAAAGGTCCCAGGTTCGATTCCAGCCAAGGGCACATGCCCGGGTTGTGGGCTCAATCCTCAGTAGGGGGTGTACTGGAGGCAGCCGATCAATGATTCTCTCTCATCATTGATATTTCTCTCTCTCTCTCCTTCTTTCTTCCTCTCTGAAATCAATAAAGAAATATCTTCACAGATAAGAAAAAGCTAAAGGAGTTCATCACCACCAAACCAGTATTATATGAAATGCTGAAAGATATCCTTTAAGAAGAGGAAGAAGAAAAAGGTAAAGATACAAATTATGAACAAATACACATCTATCAACAAGTGAATCTAAAAATCAAGTGAATAAATAATCTGATGAACAGTATGAACTGGTGATTGTAATAGAATCAGGGACATAGAAAGGGAATGGACTGACTATTCTTGGGGGGGAAAGGGGTGTGGGGGGTGCGGGAAGAGATTGGACAATAATCGTGCACCTATGGATGAGGACAGTGGGTAGGGAGTGAGGGCGGAGGGTGGGTGGGAATTGGGTGGAGGGGAGTTATGGTGGGAAAAAAGAGGAACCAATGTAATAATCTGAACAATAAAGATTTAATTTAAAAAAAAAAAAGAGAGAGAGACTGTAGGGGGTGGTGACCAGTGACCCCTGAAGGGATAAAGGTCAGAGAAGAGGTCCGAGGGCCCCCTGGCCCACACCCTCCCCACTGAGAACAGAGGGTGTTTCAGGACTGATGCCACCTGCAGAGGTGACAGTGTGGAGCGGAGGCAGGAAAAGGACTACAGACCCTTCCTCCCCGCCCCGTGGGGAACGGCGCCCCCCCCTTCCTCACCAGGTACCAGTGACCCCTGAAGGGATAAAGGTCAGAGAAGAGGTCCGAGGGCCCCCTGGCCCACACCCTCCCCACTGAGAACAGAGGGTGTTTCAGGACTGATGCCACCTGCAGAGGTGACAGTGTGGAGCGGAGGCAGGAAAAGGACTACAGACCCTTCCTCCCCGCCCCGTGGGGAACGGCGCCCCCCCCTTCCTCACCAGGTTGGCCACATTGTCGGGTGTCAGCAGAGGCTGCAGGAATTCGGCTGTGATGTCTGTGTCTGACTGGCCCGAGATCTGGGCTGAGACCTTCGAGGTCCCCGATGGGCCTGGTTCCAAATCTTTGTCCTCGTCGTCCTCCCCCAGGTTGGGCTCTGGGAGAGAGAAGGAGACAAGATGCTGGCTCTAGAGAGGCAGCGGGTCCTCCCTCCTCCCCGGGAGCCCAGGGCCCCTGCCTCCGGGCAGCTCAGCGGACAGGAGCAGAGCGGTGGGCGAAGACTGGGTTGCAGGCCTGGCTCTGCCATCGAAGGGCCATGTGACCCTGGGAACTCACTGCCTCTCTCTAGGCCTCAGTTCTCATCCGGGAAACGGGAATAAGTCAGCCCAGCCCAGCTGATCACACTAAGCTCCAAGAGGATAAAAACTGGTGAATTAATCATTTCCAGAGCTTTACTGTTTAAAAACCTCTATCTTTGAAATAGTGCTCAACTTCACCAGGTTCAGGGAAATGTAAAAACCACCCAGTAAGAGCATTTCTGCCTCTGTGATGGACACAAAAATGAAAAGGCTGCTCAGCCTGGGCTGCTCAGTTGCTTGAGCACTGTCCCATGCACCAAGGGATTGCAGGTTTGATTCCGTCAGGGCACATGCCAGGTTGTGGGTTCGATCCCCCAGTAGGGGGCATGTAGGAGGAGGCAGCCAATCAAAGATTCTCTGTCATCATTGATGTTTCTCTCTCTCTCTCCCTCTATCTCTGAAATAAAAAAATATATATTTAAAAAAGAAAAGGTTGGTATGACAGTTGTTAGTAGGGGTGTGGACTGTGGAAATGTAAACTGGTACAGCTTTTCGGAAGGGCAATTTGTTAGCAGGTCAAGATTTTAAATGTGCACATCTCTTCAACAGAGCCAATTCCGCTTTTCTAGATATCTACTCTGGAAACGTCTATCTATTTTCAAGGTGAGATGTACAGAGAATTCTCGGCACGGACAGCACAGAGAGGTGAAACAGTCTCCATCAGTAGCAACAGGCTGGTTGAACACAAGCACAGTGGCTCTAGCTCACGGAGAAACACCGATCATGTGAACCTTAGAAAGAAGCGTTCATGAACAGTCATGTTCCTTGAAGTTGTCTTTATAAAAATGGAAAAACTGGAATGTTCGACAGGGTGATGATTTAAGTAATTTGTAATGCTGCATTAACCGAAGGCACATGTAACTTAATTACAAAAGGTTGAACAGCTCAATAGTGGGCACTTCATAGAAATGCAAACGGATAATAAATGTAAAACAATGTGTAGCCTGACTCCAACTGAAGTAAGAAAGCAAATAAACCCAGGATACGGTTTATACCCAGAGGTCGTACAGAATGTCCAGGGCTGGTAAGAGTTGCGGGTGTAAACCCCAGTGCAGCTTTTTTGGACAACAGTTTGGCAATGGGCATCAAGCATTTAAATGCACCCAGCAGCAATGGGCACAGATTTGATCCTCCCCTCCCCCAGATATGATCTCTGAAACTATTCCATATCTAAAAGAAACCAGGGCTCCTTAGAGAAATGTTGATTCCAAGACTAGGGTAAGGAAAGTACAAGATGAGCCCAGAATATCTTACGTCAAAAATAAAGAAAACTAAAAAAAACCGTATAGGCCCTGGTCAGAGTGGCTCAGTTGGTTGGAGTCATCCTGTAGACCAAAAGGCGGTGGGTTCAATTCCGGGTCAGAGCACATACGCAGGATGCAGGTTCGATCCCCGATCCAGGTGCATGCAGGAGGCAACCTATCGATGTTTCTCTCTCTCCCTCTTGCTTTCTCTCTCTAAAATCAATTAAAAACAAAACTTATAGAGCACATTAAAGGGACACAGCAGCCAGCTCAAAGGCTCAATAAAGGCAATTTGGGCAGCAAAATTAATGACAACAGTAATGGATCATAACCCAGAGAATAAATAAGAACCCACAGATCCATACTGATAATAAAGTGGGGAGAAGAAAACTCTTCCTTATAGCAAAATTCCAACTAATAAGTGTAGAAGGGAAATTTTTCGTAGCCATTATAACAATAACAGATGCAGACGGCAATCATCAATGGATGTCTACGACCCCTGGGTCCAAGTCTGAAGAGAAACAGGTATTTTACACAGTGTCTCCCTCAGCTCGTACGTACAAGGGAAAGGGGTACTTTCACACCAGAGAAACCAAGCGACCAAAGTTCCATCACCAAAACGGGACAGACAGACACCTTGTGCCGCCTGATGCCACGCAGTCAGGGCACCGCTTCTTCATCGTTCCTGTTAAAGGCACAGACCTGAATAATGCACTCAGGAGGCAAGAGCAGACAGACCCAAAGGCAGGGCATCCCACCAACAGCCGTCCTGGACTCTTCACCGTGTCAAGGTGAAACAGAGCAAGGCTGAGACTAAAGAAACACGACAGTGACATGCCATGGGGGATCGGCCTCCTGAAGGGTACACGGGAGGTTCTGGTACTATTCGTATAACTTGTCTGCAAGTTCAAAATTATTTCAAGATAAACAGTTATAAGAAATAGAAAAACAAAATTGGTGCACAAAATATAACTTTAAATGCACAAAGCCTTTGCCCCACCAGTCCCATTACTAGGAATTTGTCCTGTGACTGGAAACGTTTGCAAGACTGTTATACTATAGAAATCTTTATACTTTAAAAAAAATGAAATGTCCATCAACAGGGGGACTAGTTTAAATGACCCACATGCACTCCAGATGATTACTCCACCATTAAAAGGATGCAGTAGATTTCTATGTGCAGATACAGAAAGAGCTCCAAGATGATTACTCAGTAAATTAAGATATAGAACACTCTGTTTGTATGCTTAATAATGGGGGGGCGGGGGAGGAATAGATCCCTACCTCATTCCTTATATCAAAATTAATTCCTTATTTTTTTAAATGAATAACAACAACAACAAAAAAAACAACCACACACACACACATACACACACACACACACTTCTTTCATACATGTTCTAGAAACAAACAAAAGTGATTTTTAGAAAATTTTCGGGTCAGGAAGGTTGCCGTGATTGATACTATTGGTAAGTAATGTGACCATTAAGAATTACTTAAAAAAGAAAACCCACTTAAACGAAACAAAAGAAAGGAGAATTCTACACATACGAGGCTGAGTGTAATGCTTGGGGAGTGGTTACTTTTGGGGAGAGGGGCAAGAGGGAGACTATTTTTATTCTGTTCCTGTCTGTATAATTTAAGTAATTCATAATTACTTTAGAGTATACTCTAACTTTAATAACTCTATTTTGGTATTATTTATTATGTCATCACATTTATACAATGTAATTGATAATATTAATAAAAAATGGAGATTAGTTGAATGAAATAACTGAAACTCTTTAAACATGGTCAGCCCCTGCACCCCCTCCTGCCAGGCCCCACGCGGCTCCTCAGCTCACCCAGCTTCATCTTCTTGAGCGAGGAATCCGAGTCATCTCGAGGCCGCTTTCGGGCGTCCTTGCTGCTGGGCATGTTGCGGGTGATCTCGGCCTGGGGCGTGCCCAGGTCCACCAGCAGGGTGGTGATCTGGGCCTGGAACTCTAAGGAGGCTGGGTGCTTCAGCACACTCAACAGGTGCAACTTGAGGTTCTTGCGAACGCTGCTCACCTGAGACTTGGCCAGCGTGGGGGGCAGGTTGGCTGAGGAGAAACAGGAGGTTCCTGCTGTGGACGGAGCTCGGGGCCTCAGTCTCACTCCCAAGCCCCAGCAGTGCTTGCAGGCATCTCCTGAAAGTCCCTTCCCCCTCCAGTCGAATGTGTAGCCTTCCCTCTCTGCAAGCTTATGCTTAGCCCCGAGGTTTTCATCAGTGTTACAACCTGACGCCAAGGAGAAAACGCACCCTTCCCTTTATCACACAGAATCTCATCTCCCTCCATCTCTGGGCTGGAAATCCCAATAGGCCTCCCTGGGGATGACTATAACCATCACCTTCACCTCCAGAATGGCCCAAGCGAGCTGCTACCACAGCTCCCTGTGGGCCCCTGCCAGCAGAATGACTTTGGAGTGCCTCCTAATAGTCACCTTGCTGAGCGAGCCTCCCCTGCTCCAGAGCAAAGGAGGATGCCTGTAGCTTTGCCCGCCCAGCGTCCTTCCCCCGTTCCTCGGCCAACAACACTCCCATCCTCCTTTGAGGGAACCACCCTGGCTCCATTCTCAGTCCAAGTGGGCAAAGTCTCAGGGCCAGTCCGAGCGCAGCAACCCCTCAGCCGCTGCGATTGGTTCAGATACAGGCTTGTAATCTCTTCTCGGCCAATCAGAAACAATGAACATCAGGTCATGGACTGGTGCTGGAATGACTGGGAAGGAGACACTCTCTTCCTGGGTTGCCAAGTGAACAGAAGGGAAGCCCAGGGCTGCTGGGGGCCATCTTTGCTCCCCCAGGGAAGAGACACAGAAGGACCCCAACGTGGAGAAAATAAACCGACAGATGGAGTCAGAGCCGTGATCTGACGCACTCACATCTCGACTCAACTTTCCAGTTTTGACATGTGCACAAAAGCAGAGAAAACGTACAATGAACCACCATGCACCCATCAACGTTTTGCTTATTTTGACACATGTATCCTCCTCCCTGCTTTTTGGGGAGAGGGAGGAGAGGCTGGAATATTTTAAGGTTATTTCATAGACATCATGTCATTTCACCCACATGTACCTCAGTATTAAACCAGCATTGAACCAGCCTTCTGTCACACGCAACAGAAAGGTTCCTGTGTAGCCCAGAGCCCTTCTCGGTGTCCACCACCTCCTAAATTAATGACGAAGCTCTCAGGAGTCCACCGCCTAGCGCTCACATTTCCTCAGGAAAGAGCCGACGGCCGGGTAGTGGGGAGGGGCGCGGGGGGACCAACCTACCATGCAGGGTTTCATAGGCCTGAATCACCTCAGACATGAATATGGGCCTCTGGCGGGCGATACTGGCGAGGGAGCCCAGCGCTGTGGTCAGGTTGATGGAGGAGATGGCGGGGTGCACCATGAACTTGAGGAGCTGCTCCAAGGCTGCCTTGCCCTCCTCCCACAGCACGTCTAATGAGGGAGAGAAGGGAACCAGTCAGTAGGAGCCTTCCTCCTAGGGCTCTGGAGAGAGCAGCCTATGGGGTCAACAGGAAAAGAGACCTTGTACGTGGATGGCTGTGATTGGCTGAAAAACAGACCATTTAGTACTGATGAGTCTTTTGAGACTTAATGAGTATAAAGATGTAGTGATGAGACTGCTCAAAACATGAAATAACTTTAAATATCAACTACCAGAATCTGACTGGATGAACTATGTTGATGTAAACGTTGAGTACTTACATATGTGTACGTACACACAGAGAGCTCAGAGTCTCCTCGATCCAGTCCCCAAAAGTTAACCCTTTATAACTCTGGTGGTTATCTTTCTTTGCAAAAACACTGGATAAAAAATTGAATAAACCCAGCTGGCATGGCTCAGTGGTTGAGCGTTGACCTGTGAACCAGAGGTCATGGTTTGATTCCCAGTCAGGGCACAAATCCGGGTTGCAGGCTCCATCCCCAGTGTGGGGTGTGCAGGAGGCAGCCAATCAATGATTCTCTCTCATCATTGATGTTTGTATCTCTCTTTCTCCCTCTCCCTTACTCCCTGAATCAATAAAAATGTAATAAATAAATAAATAAATAAATAAGTAAATAAGTGGGATGTAATAGTACTATGGAATATTGTGTAGCAACTGAACATGATTTTCTTTTGTTTTGTTATCCTCACCTGAGGATATTTTTTCCATTGAGTTTTAGAGAGTGGAAGTGAGGAGAGGGAGGGGGGGGAGGGAAAGAGAGAGAGACAGACAGACAGACAGACAGACATGGATGTGAGAGAAACACATCGATTGGTTGCCTCCCTCATGTGCCCTGACTGGTGCTGGGGATCGAACCCACAACCCAGGTTCATGCCCTTGACTGGGAATTGAACCCGTTACCCTTTGGTGTGTGGGCTGCTCTATCCACTGAGCAACACCAGCCAGGGTGAACATGATTTTCATAGGGAAAGATAAAATTTAATATTGTTGAGTTAAAAAGGCTGTCAAACAACATGGAAGAAGAGCAGCAGCGGAGGCATGCTCACTCTGCCAGCCATATTAATTTCTCACACCCTAAGGTATATCATGACCCCAAGTACCAATGAAGAAACAGAATAGGTCGCTTCCCCAATAGAGCAGAGATTCAAACACAAGCCACTACACTCTAATATCTCTCAGCTGGAAATCTAAAGCATGTCCTGTTTTCTATAAACAAAAAAGTCATCAAACGTAGAAACTAGGCATACATACAGGCAAGTACCTGTCTTTGCGTGGAAAACGTCTGGAAGGAAACAGCATTCTTAGCAGTACTTACCTCTGGGAAGCAAGGCTGCGGGATACTTTCCCTTTTACCCCTCCACCTTTATTACCCGACACTTCAGTAGTATCAGCGTGCTACTTTCATAATTTGCAACAGGAAAAAACTAGCATTTACTGAGTGCTCATATCCTCATGGAGCCTCACTACCAACCGTAAAGGGTATTACCATCACCTCCATTTCACAGAGAAAATGAAGTTCAGAGAGAGGGAACTTGCCCAAGTTCACACAAGGAGTGTAATAAGCGGTTATGTAAGTGGTGAAGCTGGGATTTGAACTTAGTGTTCAGGCGCTGCAGCACTGCATTATACTGTCTCCGGAAATTAAAAACCAAGAAGAGAGGGAGGAGGAGGAAGAGGAAGTGACTGAGAGATGGCGCAGCGGACGGGGGTGCTCACTGTATTGGATGTAGGGGTGGTCGCGCGGCACGCGGTCCAGGCTGATGTCCTGCTCGTGGCGTCGGGGTATCTCCGAGTCAGCCATGCGGGGCGACAGGGTGACAATGAAGGCCTCCACAAACTTGATGGCGTGGGTCCGGACACCATCGTTGTCGGAGTCCAACAGCACAATGATGTCCCCGGCCATGGCGGACATCATGTCCCAGCAGGCCTCCTGGAGCTCGCTGATGACCCGTGACTTCACCATCCACTGGGAGCGGCCAGGGAGGGATGCACAGACAGAGAAAGGGGGACAAGACATCAGTCGCCAGCTCTCCCACACCCAGATATCCATGAACGATGATAAAAATGTCATTTGGCCCTGGCCAGTGTGGCTCAGTGGTCAGAGAGTCAGTCTGCGTACGGAAGGGTCGTGGTTCAATTCCGGGTCAAGGGCAACTACCTGGATCACGGGTTTGCTCCCTGCCCTGTCAGGGTGCGTGCAGGAAGCAACCAGTTGATGTGTCTCTCTCACAGTGATGTTATTTTCTCTCTCCCCCCATCTCTCCCTCCCATCCACTCTCTCTGAAAAGTAATGGAAAAAATATCCTCCGGTGAAGATGAACAAAAACAAACAAAAAAATAAGAAAAAAAATTTCATTTGGGAAACACTTACTGGGTTACAACTCTGCCCCCAGCCCTGTGCTAAGGGACACTGGGGACAGGACCCAGTGGTGACCAAGACAGACCTGGTCCTGCCCACATGAGGTTCACAGACAGTGACCACCCAGAGTGATGAAGGCTCAAATCGGAAGCAAGACAAAGGAATGACCATGCTGACCATAAGCGGTGGAGGCAGAGACTAAATGAATTCATCTTTACGTGATCGTTAATGAACACACCATAGTGTGTCTTTTCCTTATAGTACTAACTACAGCCCAAATTAGTATTTGTGATTCTTTTTTTTTTAAAGTATGTTTTTATTGATTTTAGAGAGAGAGGGAAAGGAGAGAGACAGAAACATCGATGTAAGAGAGAAACATCGACCAGCTGCCTCCTGTACGAACCCCAACCAGGAATAGAACCCACAATCTGGGTATATGCCCTGCCTTTCGGTGCATGGGACGACACTCAAAACAACTGAGCCCCACCGTCCAGGGCCCTGTGATTCTTTCATTAGGGTATGTCTCTCACTGGGCCATGAGCACCATGATGGTGGGACTGGCCCATCTCGGTCACAGAAGAGCTACTCGGGGAATGTTTGCTGAATGCATAAATGTATAAACGGATGGGTTCACGGTGGTCCCTGACCATCAGACAACATTAACATCAGATCCCTTGTTGTCTGTTCCCAAAGACCAACAGCACCTCTTGCTCAGGAAGAATCTGATCTGACCCTGGTTTTGCACTGACAGATGAGTCTGTAAATACGCCGTGTGAGGCCAGGACGCCCAGGCGGGAGGGAGCTCCTACCTGCAGGGCCACCTTGTAGAGCTGGGTCATGGTGAGGATGGCCCTCTTCACCACATTCACGTTCTCGTCCCGCAGGAGCATGTTAAGGTTCGCAACCAGTTTCAGCAACAGCTCGATGTCTCGCTTGCTGGGGGTGGAGGAGAAAGGGCAAATCAAATCACCTCTGGGCAGGTGAAAGGAACCTGGGCTCCATGAGGAAAAGGAAGTCAGGGTCAGTGTGTCAGGACACTGGAATGGAGGGGGGCGAAGGCAAGGAGTGCACCTCTCGTCTGCCAGCACATCCGGACGCTGAGAACAGTGGCTGGCACCTTCGGTCACAGCTGCCCCCTGAACCCTCTATCTACGTTGCTCATGCACAGGACTGGCCCATCTCGGCCACAGAAGAGCTACTCGGGGAATGTGTGCTGAATGCATAAATGTATAAATGGATGGGTTCACGGCGGTCCCTGACCAGCAGACAACATTAACATCAGATCCCTTGTTGTCTGTTCCCAAAGACCAACAGCACCTCTTGCTCAGGAAGAATCTGATCTGACCCTGGTTTTGCACTGACAGATGAGTCTGTAAATACGCCGTGTGAGGCCAGGACGCCCAGGCGGGAGGGAGCTCCTACCTGCAGGGCCACCTTGTAGAGCTGGGTCATGGTGAGGATGGCCCTCTTCACCACATTCACGTTCTCGTCCCGCAGGAGCATGTTAAGGTTCGCAACCAGTTTCAGCAACAGCTCGATGTCTCGCTTGCTGGGGGTGGAGGAGAAAGGGCAAATCAAATCACCTCTGGGCAGGTGAAAGGAACCTGGGCTCCATGAGGAAAAGGAAGTCAGGGTCAGTGTGTCAGGACGCTGGAATGGAGGGGGGCGAAGGCAGGGAGTGCACCTCTCGTTTGCCAGCACATCCGGACGCTGAGAACAGTGGCTGGCGCCTTCGGACACAGCTGCCCCCTGAACCCTCTATCTACGTTGCTCATGCAACCCCCACTTTGCCCTAAGAGACCCCTGCTGTTCAAATAAGGGGCAACAGAGCTAGACGCCTGTATGAGTCTGGGCAACCAACTTTGTCTCATTTAAAACAGTACCTCTCTCATAGCTTGTTGTGAAAATTGCAGCAAAACATGCGAAGTGCTTAGAACAGTGTAGAAAGCATTTGGCTAATATTAGCCATCACTACTTTAGAACACTTTGCTTTATGTAATCACTAGTTTTGTTTACTAGTTTGTTTACCTAAGTCTGAGGGCTCTGAATGAGGGGAGGGACCCTTTTCAGTCTGAGTACTAGCAGAGTTTCGTTTTTTGTTGAAGAAAAGAATGAAAGGCCTTCAATCAATATAATAAAGAAATTAAAGGCCACGCCTAGAACTCAGACCATAAGTATCATTTCACACACAACCTGAAGCTAATTAGTCAAAAAATATGAAACTCAACTGTCAGCTCCATGAAAGCAGGAACAAAATCTGTTTTTACTCATATTCCTGCAGCCTGCGCAAATGCCGGGCACATCGCAGGCAAGTCACACACAGCGGCTGAACCAATCGTTTCGCTGGGGTTTTTTGCAACTCAGAAACTGAGCACAAATTCTCCGAGTAACAGGTGGACGTTGGGCAATGGTGTTGCAGACCCGGTTTAGAATCCCAGCCCTGCCACATGCTGGCTGTGTGACCTCAAGAAACTCACTTCCTCTCTCTGAGTCCGTTTTATCTTTGGTTAAATGGGCCAAAATGCACGGTATTTTTTTGAGTTGAATAACAAAGTCGGTAAAGCATTTAGTACAGTGCCTGACAATGAGAAACTTCACAAAATAAAGGCTATTTTATTTTCTCGCAGTCACAGAGCATCTGGTAAATGTTTAATGAAGAACTGAGTCAGCCTGAGCAAGTCCCTTTAACATTCAGTTTCCCTTTCCATAAAAGGAGGAAAACCAAGCCTCCATCCAGAAGGCTACGGTGGAGACTACAGGCGACCACAGAGGACAGGAGTTAAGCGTGTGTGGCAGAGTAAGCACTCCACGTGGTTACTATTCTGATTTAAATTCTTGCCCAACAAATACATGTTCAGCCCCTCCTGTGTGCCAGCACTGTTCTAGCCACTGGGACACAGGGGTCTGCAATAGAGAAGTCCTGCCCTATGGAGCGGACATGCTTGTGGGGACGCAACAAGGTAACGCCAAGAACACTATAAAGAAGAGTCCAGCCCGGCCGGCATGGCTCAGTGGTTGAGCGTCGGCCTGCGGACTGAAGGGTCCCGGGTTCGATTCTGGTCAAGGGCATGTACCTTGGTTGCGGGCACATCCCCGGTGGGAGGTGCGCAGGAGGCGGCTGATCGATGTTTCTCTCATTGATGTTTCTAGCTCTCTATCTCTCTCCCTTCCTCTCTATAAAAAATCAATAAAATATATTTCAAACAATAAAAAATAAAACAAGAAGCGTGCAGCCCGGCCAGCATGGCTCAGTGGTTGAGCATCAACCTATGAACCAGGAGGTCACGGTGCGATTCACGGTCAGGGCACAAGCCCTGGTTGTGGGCTTGATCCTCGGTGGGGAGCGTGCAGGAGGCAGCTGATCAATGATTCTCTCTCATCATCAATGTTTCTATCTCTCTCTCCCTCTCCCTTCCTCTCTGAAATCAAGAAAAAAAATATATTTTTTAAATAAACAAGAGTGCAGAAGGGTGCCAGAGGAGTGGGCTGTGCTGGCCTGGCCAGGAAGGGCTTGCTGAGGGAGACAGAGGCAGAGGGGGTGAGCGGGCTCCCTGGAGGCGAGCGTCCCTTGCAGATACACAGTTGCAAGCAGGGGGGCTATGAAGCAGAACAGCATTTTCCGAGGAACCACAGGGAGGCCAGGAGATGTGAGTGAAGACAGAGAGGCCGGGGAAGAGCGAGGGTGGGGAGTGTGGGTTTCAATCTGTGAGGCGGTGCCCAGGAGGCCTGGGAGCAGGGAGGGCCCAGGTGGGTCCACCTTTTGGCAGGAGGATGCAGGCAATGGGAACAGTGTTTCCTTTCAGGGGAATTAAAGTGTTTTGGAACTAGATTCTGAATGTGCTAAATGCAACTGAAGAGTTCACTTAAAAACAGTTAATTGTCTGTCATGTGCATTTCTTCAAGTAAACAAGAGAGAAGCCGGACAGAAGGCCACTGCGGCCGAAGCCGGTTTGGCTCAGTGGATGGAGCGTCGGCCTGCGGACTGAAGGGTCCCAGGAAGCTGATCAATGATTCTCTCTCATCATCGATGTTTCTATCTCTCTCTCCCTCTCCCTTCCTCTCTGAAATCAAGAAAAAAAAATATTTTTTAAATAAACAAGAGTGCAGAAGGGGTGCCAGAGGAGTGGGCTGTGCTGGCATGGCCAGGAAGGGCTTGCTGAGGGAGACAGAGAGGGTGTGAGCGGGCTCCCTGGAGGTGAGCGTCCCTTGCAGATACACAGTTGCAAGCAGGGGGGCTATGAAGCAGAACAGCATTTTCTGAGGAACCACAGGGAGGCCAGGCGATGTGCGTGAAGATGGAGAGGCCCAGGAAGAGCCAAGGGTGAGGAGTGTGGGTTTCAATCTGTGAGGCAGTGCCCAGGAGGCCTGGGAGCAGGGAGGGCCCAGGGGGATCCACCTTTTGGTAGGAGGATGCGGGCAATGGGAACAGTGTTTCCTTTCAGGGGAATTAAAGTGTTTTGGAACTAGATTCTGAATGTGCTAAATGCAACTGAAGAGTTCACTTAAAAACAGTTAATTGTCTGTCATGTGCATTTCTTCAAGTAAACAAGAGAGAAGCCGGACAGAAGGCCACTGCGGCCGAAGCCGGTTTGGCTCAGTGGATGGAGCGTCGGCCTGCGGACTGAAGGGTCCCAGGTTCGATTCCGGTCGGGGGCGTGTACTTGGGTTGCGGGCACATCCCCAGTGGGAGATGTGCAGGAGGCAGCTGATCGATGTTTCTCTCTCATCGATGTTTCTAGCTCTCTATCTCTCTCGCTTCCTCTCTGTAAAAAATCAATAAAATATATTTAAAAAAGGAAGAAAAAAAAAAAAGAAGGCCACTGCGGTCACCCAGGAGGAGGTATGGCGGCTGGAGTGATAGCCAGGGAAGCAGCTGAGACGGTCAAATGCTGTTTACATTTTGAAGGCACAGCCAACCGTCCTCACTGACGGAGGTGAAGTGTGGAAGAAGCAGAGGTTACCATGGACAACTCCAGTTTTGACTTATTTGCTGGGGAGTCCGTGCCTGGGAGGGAGACTGGGTCTAGGAAGCAGAGGGCAGGGTCTGAGGGCAGGGCCAGGTGGGTGACTAGAGGGTGACTCCCGGGGCCCCATACCAGGCCTCCTCGATGAAGCCAATGACAAATTTGCGCACTTCAATCGACTTATCTACTTGGAAAGCGATGATCTCCTGCCAACATCAGGAAGAAGGCATGTCAGGGTGGTACCAGGATCCATCCCCTCACCGCTGCCCCCACACCGTCTCTCCCATCCGTCACTCACATCCAGGAAGTTGTCCAGGAGGGTGGGATCTTTGTTGATGATCAGTTCCTGGACCTGGAAGGAGATTGGGGATGGGGAGGAGGAACACCATATAAATCCAGGGTCCTATCGGTGCAGACAGGAGTGTGTGGGGAAAGGAGCACGGGGCAGGCCACAGACAGACCCAGTTCAAACCCTGGCTCTGCCACTCCGCACCGGGGCCTGGCAGGGCTTCTCCTGAGCCTCTTCTGTGCGTGGGGATCTCACACACGACTCCTAGGGCTGCTGTGGAGCCTCATTAAGGTCCTACCAGGCCACGTCCTGGTGGACAGTGACCACGTGAGATACACGGACGGGGCTGAAGAGGAGAGGGAAGCGCTGCAGGCTCCTGCCTTCCTGAGGCTCGGCCGTCATCAGCTCCCCACTGTCCTTCGGTCTCTGCTCCCCTCCCGCACGGACACAGGCCAGCAGGCACTCTGACCCGAGAACCCGTGCCTGAGGCCCTGGTCCCGGCCAGGCTCTTTGGAATCAGCGCCTCCCGCAGGCATGCTCATGTCAGCCCGGTGCCAGCACAGGCCTGGCTCCTATGACCCAGGGGCTGCTGCTGAGTTACCTTCATGGCACCCCCCACGAGGGGGGCCCCTCAGTACCCCACTGCACTGGCAGGGGGAGTCAGCTGCAAGAGGCTGCATGCGGAGCAAGTAGCAGGACTGGGGTTCTGAACTCCACCTGCATCCTGTTTTGAACCACACCCCCACCCCACACTAATTCCCATGTCCTCTTTTGCCTCTGCACAAGCTAGTGTGACCTCTTCTCAAGCCCCCCGCCCACTCTTGGCTGGTTTCCGTCCTCATCCTCCATGTCTCAGCTCAGAGGTCCCCGCTTCCAGAAAGCCCTCCCTGAGCCCCACAGCCCCTGGCCGCCTCCTCCCCAGCTCTGCTCACTCTGGGTCCTCACTGGCACGTGACCTGCATGTCTTCCCCACTGGGCAGGACCCTGGCAGAGAGGAAATGAAGGGTGAAGAGCTCAGGATCTGGAGCTGGAATCCAGCTCCCAGCAGAGTGACCTTGGGCTGATATTTAAGCTCTGAGACTGCTTCTCCCCCTATAAAACGGGGATGACATCACCCTGCCCCAGAGCTTTGGTGGGAATGAAAGGAGGGCGGGCTGAACAGCACCGAGCACCACGGCAGGCATCACCTAAGTGCTGGGATGGGGACACAGTGCCATCACCAGCGTCTTCTGGTTCACAGCTTCCCATGCCCCTCCCCGCGCCCTGCCTGCCCAGCGACACCCTGCCCTCACCTGCTTGAGCAGTGTGATCTTGGACTCACTGGTGACCAGTGCCGCCTGGTTCAGGAGATCGACCACCTAGAAGGAGGGGGAGAGGCAGGTGGTGGTGCTCATCTTGCCAGCCCAGCCCCCTCAGCGCTCCCTGGGCTCTGCCAGCTGGGGGTGGGTCGCCCACACAGGGGCGGTGCCCCCCACTCCCACCCCCTCCAAGACCTTCTCTCCATGCTCACTCTCTCTGAAGTGGTCATGACATCAATGCCTAGCCCCTCCTCTTGCGTGAAAAACTGTGAAGCCACGCTCCGCCGCGTGATGCTGTCCCCACTGCTGCCTGCCATGGCTGCTGTCCCGTGTGTCCTGGAGAAGACAAAGATGGGCCGGACCTTCCCCTCAGCACCCACCGAGGCTCCACCCTCCTCCCCAGCCTGTTGGGTTTTCCGAAGCCCCTCCCCGTCTCAGGGTCTGTCTCAGACTGTAGGGGTACATGAGGGCTGTAATTTGGGGGAGACTGAGGTCTCTCAGGTCAGAGGCAGTACCAAGCCTCACCTCCAGGACTTTGCACACAGCGGAATGACCGCCGACATCTGCTGAGTGATGAACCAGTGAACACACAGCAGCCCCTCTCTGGCCTCGGGGTCTCTCCATCTGAGCTGTATGCTCTGGACTGGACACCAGAGCAAGCTTTCTAAAACAGGGACTAGCTGCAGAGTCCTGCACAGTAAGGACTCAATACACAACAAAGGGCTGAGTTAAAGAAATTACGTTTCAGCCGTTTTTCTAGAATGCTATGGAGCTGTTTTTCAACAGGTGGTAATAATACCGTGTCCTCACCTGGTTGGTTAGAGCGTCGTCCCAATACGCCAAGGTTTCGGGTTCGATCCTCGGTCAGGACACATACAAGAAACAACCTAGATATGCATACATAAGCGGAACAAGAAATCAATGTTTCTTCCTCTTTCTCTAAAAGTTAATAATAAAATAAAAATAAATCAATAAGTCAAAATAAATAAATTTAAAAACAATTAAAGAAAAAAAAAAAGTGGGGTAGGATGGGGAGGGGAGACTTTTGGGCATCTGTCCCAAAGCCACACTGGCACAATTATGAAATAAGAAGGATACCAACCAAAAAAATATTCCTAAAGACTACTAGTAATCCGAGCGTTCTCAAATAAGGAGACTGGCTAAAAAACTATGTTTCTTCCTCTTTCTCTAAAAGTTAATGATAAAATAAAAATAAATCAGTAAGTCAAAATAAATAAGTTAAAAAACAATTAAAGAAAAAAAAAAAAGGGGGGAGGATGGGGAGGGGAGACTTTTGGGCATCTGTCCCAAAGCCACACTGGCACAATTATGAAATAAGAAGGATACCAACCAAAAAAATATTCCTAAAGACTACTAGTAATCCGAGCGTTCTCAAATAAGGAGACTGGCTAAAAAACTATGACATATCTACATAATAAAATACTACGCAACTGTAAAAAGGAATGAGGGAGGGGGAAAGAAGGAACGAGGACAATCTCTATACACTAATAAACAGTGGGCCTCAGCATGCATTCAGTGAAAATATGCAAAGTGGAAGATAATGTTTACTGTGTGCTCCCTTTTTACAAAAGAGAGGGAATTATGTATATATGATTAAAAAAAGAAAGAAAGATGCCCTAGCTGGTTTGGCTCAGTGGATAGAGCAT